AATAATACAAAGTCTATTATACAATTTAATATGCATATTACGGTGTCATTTTTAATTGGTAATAATACAAAGTCTAAATTATACACTTTAAATTGGCAATAATACAAAGTCTATTATACAATTTAATATGCATATTACCTGACACATGGGGCATTGGATATTCGTGGAATGTTACTAATTTATTATAGTATTGACAATTTACTTTATACAACAATTAAACACAGACATGGTAGATTTTTATTTTGTTACAAAAGTTGTCTTCGTCAACAAAATCACTAATATTGATCACCTATATAAGTAATGTGATCAATAATTTACTCATGATTGTATCTAAAATCATTTTTATATACATTTGATGAGGATCCCATCAATTTTCACTTACAGTACAAATTAAAACCCCATATAAAAATCCTGAGTCAAATGAAATACGACAGATTAAAAGTGTGAAAATATGAAAGTAGGATAAAGGATTAATACATGTAGCATGGTCCTAAATTTAAATGAAATGAAAAATGTTACATTTGTATTTATTTTTATTTTTAATTATCTTATGTTATCATCGTAATAGAAGTTCGTATTGTTGTAATGTGAAAACATATATTTACATATATCTCTTTTTTTGGGTTTTATGTATACTTGGTCTTGAAAAGTAGTTGATAAATTGAAATTTTGATTTATCACTAAACAAAGAATCAAAACACAATATTTTATTAAAACTTGTGAATAAGCTCAACATATAATCGGAATAATGGAGAAATCTATAAACCATCTCATACTAAAAAACAAAGGTATATTATTATTGAAATTAAATCATAATCTATCATTTATTATAAAGCATTAATTTCTAACATAGGAATTATAAACCTAAAATGTCTAATTATTAAATTCAAGCATAAAATAATAATAATACTAAAACATGGATTATCTCGCAGATCATCATCCAATTTCTTCCGGGTTCTCCAGCGACCATAGAAGGAAAGGCTTGTTGAATGCGAAAATCTACTGGGATTATCTCAGAAATTCATCCAATTTCTTCTGTTTCTCCAGCGATCATAGAAGGAAAGGTTTGATTTCAAAAATCTCCAGGCTCGGCAGATCTTCATCGTGACTGTCGCAAAATAGGCTCCTCTTCTCCGCTGTTTTCTTTTATTTTTTCTATTATTAGGTGGCTTGCTGATGTGTTCCATTTTTTGCCAAATAGGCGTGCCAAATGTCGCAATATCGTGCATCCGAGTCTCCTTTATTATAATAAAGGATTAGTGGAGCATCATATCTATACTCTCTCATTGTAGTACTGTTCAAACTAATTTCAATAGGGGTGTGCATTATTCAGACCGGATCCGAAGTGACCTAAAACACGGCCAAAATCGGATCAGACCCGGACAGGTCCTTATTCGGTCCAGTCTTCGGTCTTCACTTTTTCCTTATTCGGGTTTCAGTCCGGACCGGTGGACCGGTTACATTTTATTTTTTCAAAAAAATATTGTTTCTATATAGTTTTAAAATATAGTTTTCTAAAGTTTTTTCTTATAATTAGAATTAATTTAACTTTAATACTAAAAGTTTTTCAAATGTTTTGATTTTATTGTTTAATAAAATTTTTTAATATATTCCAATTCAAAATAAGATATCAATTCTAATGATATTTAAATATTTTTAATATGAAGGTGTGAAAAAAGTAAATATTACCTTTATATTAGTGATCTAATGCATTTCAAGTTTATGCACCAATACTATAACTTAAGTTTATACTTTATCAGTAATAAACTCTAATCAACAAAAATAAACATTGTAAACAATCTCATGAACAAAAATAGTAAAAACTATATCCATTTGCCAAAATAAACCAAAAACACAAAAACAATTTTACAAAAAAGTAAAAATGCAATAAGAAGAAGAATATTTCATATGTAAAATAAAAATTACGAACAAATTTTATGTAATTCGGATGGAGGATATATATTTTATTCATATATTTTTAAATGATTAAAAACAACAGTGTTTGACAATATTTAGTCTATGTTACACATTAAAAATTAATTGTAGTAATATTTTTATGCAATTAAATACTTTAAATTAAATAAATAAAATCAAATTTTAAAAAAAATAAAAAATCATCTTTATTCGGTCGGTCCCGAGCCACTCCTTACCCTAATCGGTTCGGTCCTCTGTCTACAAAACGTCTCTTATTCGGTTCTGGTCCGGTTCCGATCTGGTCCGGTCTGGGTTTTACCAGCTCAACACCCCTAAATTTCAACTTCTTCAACGTATGGATGAAGCTCGAACACTAGATGTACAAAAGTTTGAGGCGACTTTGTTGCGATATGACAACATAAGAAAATACTTTAATCCTATTGTTTTTAAATTTTTTGGTGATATACATGAAGAGCTATTATTGACTAAAATAGTTCACCGTCAGTTTATGTGAAATGTAGTGTATACCCTTCCTTAATATTATCTTCATCTTAAAAAAAACTTCAAGAAAAATATTCAAAGATTAAAAAAAGTTTAGGCCAATTCAAGTTCAATTTTATAAATAAAAAAAGAAGAAGAAAAGTTATAAGTCACTTAGTCACATATTCTTTACTATAAAACTAAAGAAATATGAAAATTAATTTAACACAAACAAAAAAGATACTCCGTTGTATTTTTATCTTTCGAGACGGAGAGAGCAAAAGAAGGTTTGTTAATATTATATTGTTCACATTACCAATTTATATAGAATTTTCTCTGCATGGGTATTATTTTTCTTTTCCCGCACCTTTTTTATGACTATTTGCTAAAATGAAATATTTAACCTACAGGCCATTACTCATTTGGTAAAATTTTGAATTTAAACAATGAGTAATTTTTTAAATAAATTAATTTCTAAAAATTGAATTATGGACACAATTACTTCAACCGACATATCACAACAGCCTGTGGGTGAGGAATGAGAATTTGTAGTCTATAATCAAACATGGCCCTCATTTCCGGTAAGTAACGCATGTGAATGATTAATTAGTGTCTTCACCACATGTTCATTACGGGGAACAGCAACATGCATATCATTTAAAAACTACAAATTCTACATATCATTTTAAAAGCATATTGAGAACTTCCTCACACGTACTTAACCATGCAACCTCCTTATTGCATGCCCAAGATCCTCCCCAGCTGCTAGGAGAACTGGGCTCTCTAGCTCGTCACAGTCGCAAGGTTGCTTTCATAGCATTTGTTACACTCACTCCACCCCAAGTAAGAAGTGACTAAGCATTAGAATATGAGATAGTAGAGTACTGGTCCCACAAACTAGCATAAGTGTTTTTCACACACTTTGGCCTCAGCTCACTCATGGGTGTTAGTTCCATATTGTGTTGGCATTATTTTTTGACAAACGAATAGATTTACCTAGAATTATTTTAGATGTTTTAGTTAGACTCAGAGTCCAAGAATGTGAAAGAAGAAAAAGAGGAAAGAGCTTGAAAAGAGAATTCTAATCCTACTTGAATTCTAATCCTACATGGTTTACTATTCTTGAGGAGGAAGGCATGGTTGAGACTCCCAATTAAGCATGAGGAGGAAGGCATGGTTGAGACTCCTAAGCACACTATAACAAGGTTAATATACTCCATATATTATCCTCTCCCTCCCTTAGGGTTTTGTGGTGAAAATATACGAAACTACTGAAGCAAATCCGAAAAAAAGAAAAACAAGGTGCAGAGTTTGATAGTGCAAATTTTCTGGACAGCCCGCACATATTTGATCATCGTCGGAGATCTGATTGTTGGATTATGCTGAAATTTTCAGAGGGTGTTCCCAACACATAGGGCTTCAACGTGTTAAATTTTCACGCCAATCGGAGTTACAAATCTTCTGTTATTGAAGTTACAATCTGCATATTGTCGCTGATTTTTTGCAGAAAACGCAGCTATGGTTTTGTCGATGATCGGAGTACCAAACCTTGTCCGATCGTGCTGAAATTTTAGGAGAAGTCTAAGGACTTGTGGAGCTTCAATCTGAACGGTGGAGATCGAATTCCAACAGTTCAATCTCGATTTATGAGCTTCGAAACAGCCTGCATATTTTTATAGATCAAGGAGAATCTTTATTTGAAGGTGTACTGGAATATACGTCCTTGAAGAAGATCTTTGAGAAGGTGTAACAAACCGTGGAGATAGACGCAAACCAAGTTTGTCGTCAATTCATTCGTAAGTAGACAAATCAATACATTAGAAGGTTCTGTTGTGATTGATTGTGTAATTCTTACGGTGATTTAGTGGAAGGGCTATTACACGGACGTGGGCATTGCAGATGTAGGAGAATTTGCTCCGAACTGCGTGAACAATTCTGGTTTCTTGCTTGCTGTTTTTACTTTATATTCTATGTGTGTGCTTGTGACAGAGAAGGTGTCATAGCACTTTGTCAGTCATCTGTTACTGTGACAGTGCTGCAGTATCTCCTCTACAACATAGTTGATTGTTTTGTTTGCATAGCTTGTGTTTGGTGTTATCCGTTGCGCCCCCCCCCCACAAACTTACAATTGGTATCGTAGCCCGGCAAGCTTAATCTGCTAGCTTGATCGATCTATCACCATGGGAGATATTCAAGAAGGTTCTAATGTTTTTAGACCTCCACTATTATGCGGCTATGATTATACTTTTTGGAAGTGTCGAATGAAAGCCTTTCTCAAGTCTTTTGGTGGACATGTTTGGAGAAGCATAGAGGTTGGATGGTCAGCTCCTACTATGACCAATGGATATGGAGAACTGATTCAGAAACCTTATGAAAGATTTAGAAAGAAAGAAAATGATGCTGCAGAATCGAATGATCAGGCTTTGAATGCAATTTTCGTAGCGGTTGACAGAAATCAGTTTCGTCTTATGTCTAACTGCACAGAGGCGAATAGAGCTTGAGATATTTTTCTTATTACTCATGAAGGCACTACCACAGTCAAGACTGCCAAACTTCATATCGTGATGTCCAATATTGAAAATCTTAAGATAGAAGATGCTGAGTCTATCAAAACTTTTCATGGGCGGGTTAGAGAGTTGGCAAATGAGTCTGAAAGGCTTGGTGAACCAATTACAGAAAACAAACTTGTGTTGAAAGTTCTACATTCTCTTCGAGAAAAATACTCTATGGATGTCAAAGGTATTAATTAGACAAACACAATCTCTCAATTCTATGTCTCTTGATGAACTGATGGGGAACTTAGAAACCATTGAGTTGGAGATGAATGAAGATCTACGACGTAAGAAGCTGCTTGTCATTCCCGTTGAAAAAGAGACGCAGTGTGTTAAACACAGTGCTGGAACATGCTGTGCTTTTCCAACTTACTATAGTGATGGTGATGACTCTGTTGGTGACGTTGATCCAAAGGAGATGCTTATAATTGTTGAAGAAAAATTTCAAGAGTCGCTACGGGTCAACAAGAAAAAATGTTTGGAAAATGATAGTCTCAAACGTGAACTTGCTGAATCAAAACATAATGTGGAACAACTCACTAAAGAGTTACAGAGATACAAAGGTAAATTTACAGCAGAGGATGACACAGAGGATGATACAGAAGATGACACAGAATTTGACACAACAGAAGAGCTAGCTATTCTCCAAAGGAAGTGGGCAGAACTTCTTCAAGCCAATAAGAAAACTGTCCTAGAGAACCATCAGCTTGTTGCCGAGCAAAATATACTAAAGAAGGTTATTTCAGGATTAGAAAAGAAGATTGAAGGATTAGAAGGGTAACAATCTGATCTCAAGTATGAATTAAATCAACTCAAAAACATTCAAAAGTGGATGAGAAGTGCTAGAGCAAAAGCTATTGAGGAACAAGTGAACTTTTCAAAATTTTATGGAGACAAGACGGGTCTCGGATTTTAGGTTCCGAAAGAAATAAGACCCCACTTGACTTGTAAGGAGGGGAGACAAGACTTAAACATTAGTGAGGACGCAATCTTATTCCACCTAAATTGATTAGTAATGCCGACTGGCATGTGAGCGAGTGCCTGAAGTGTGATCGAGGCTCACAAAACCTTGCACACCATGCCTCTAGGTAGTAACACGATGTTCTTGGATTTCAGGAGGACTTTTTGGTGGTCTATGGTGAAGTGTGCAATTTCTAAGTGCACAACATAGTGCTTGACCTACTAAAGGGTCAACACTGAACATCAAGTATCAATTGAAATGATGCATCCTCCTGCCATTCTTAGTAGAAATGGGGGCACATTACTATTAACTTTGTGATTTTATTTCTTATGTTGCCAAGGAAGAATGATGTCGTTTGGATGGTGGTGGATCGAGTGACAAAATTAGCCTACTTTTTATCGATTAGGTATGACTCTTCATTAAAGACATTGACTGAGCTTTATGTTCGAGAATTTGTTACATTGCAAGAAGTGCCCATGTCAATTGTTTTAGATCACAAATCGTGGTCTGCATCACAATTTTGGAAGACTCTGTAGAAGGCCCTCTATTCTAAACTTAGTTTCATGATGTCATTTCACTCTCACATAGATGGTTAGTCTAAGGGAGTTATTTTGATTCTAAAAGATACGATGAGAGTTTGTGTTATTGATTTTTTTGAAAATTGGGAGTAATACTTCACCTTGTTGGAGTTCGCTTGTAACAATAGTCATCGGGCTAGCATTCAAATGGGTTCATACAATGCATTGTACTAAAGATGATGTAAAACCTCAGGGATTGGATATGGGCCTTTGGGTAGTAAGCCCGACCCAATCCCACACAAAAATTCACATGTTGATTGGGCAAAAGGAGATAGGCCTTGCAATGTGCCGGACTACGTGGACATTTTGGCTTACGTCAGTCCTCCCGTAATTGGCTTGCTAAGTTACGTAGTGCGCTAAGGAGATATGGCCTTCGTCAAGTTCAGGCTGATCACACCCTATTTGTTTGGTATCGTGGTCTGGATATTTTGGTTGTGTTAGTTTATGTGGATGATATTCTTGTGGTAGGAAATAACTCTTCTATTTGTACGACATCCAGAAACAGTTCAGCCAAATCCTTCAAAACCTTGCCTCAAGACATAATTTAATGACTGTTTCTGTTTGAAGGATTTGGCTCCCGTTTCTTACTTCCTTGGGATTGAGTGTGCTCGGTCTTCTAATGGGATGGTCTTAAATCAGTGCAAGTATGCCCTAGATATCATACAAGAGGTGGGTCTTTCTAGATGCAAACCCGTCGTTACTCCTAATTACACTAGTCATTCTCTTGCCACTTCCTCTATCCTGAGATTCAGGATCCTTCGAAGTACAGAAGACTGGTTGGCCGTTTATTGTATTTGACCATTACACGTCCTGATATTTACTTTTCTGTGCTTGTATTGTCCCAGTTCATGCATGCTCCGAGGTTAGATCACCTTCATACGGCTATGCGTGTCGTACGTTATCTGAAATAAGGGTGTGCACTGGTCCAAAACCAGAACGGACCAGACCGGAACCGAATGGACCGGAACGGGGATCCTCTATTTGCAAGGACCGAAGACCAGACCTGTTAGAAATCGGTCCGGACCGGTCCAGACCTGAATTTTCCGGTCCAGTCCGGGTTTACCCTATTATGGACCGGATTTTAAACATAAATGACCTAATTTTCATTATAAAAAATTCATATCTAAATTATATATATATATATATATATATATATATATATATATATATATATATATATATATATAAAATACCATCAATCCCCAAATTCATAACAATAACAATTCACTAAAGAGGGCAATTGTTAAATTCATAAGTTCATAACACTACAAAATCCATGAAAAAAATCTCAAACCAAAGTTCAAACTTCAAAGAAAAAAATTAAATAAAAAATACATAAAGTAAAAATTGAAATTCAGTAACATATCATTCTAGGAGCCTAAGAGAACTAAAAAAGAAGAAATTTGAAAGGATAATGGTCTAATGAATTAACTATTTATTTAAAAAAATTAATATTTTATTATATACCGGTCCGGACTGGATAATTTCGAGTTTAGACCAGACCGAAACCCGGAATTCTAAATTTTGGAGGACTGAAGACTAGACCTGAAAGTTCCGGACCGGTCCATAAGGTCCATTCGAGTCCGGTTCAGGTCTAAATTCCGATCTGGCCATATTAATGCACAACCCTAATCTTAAAGGTCATCCTGGCCTGCATGGTCAGGGAATTTTCCTACGCAGTGACAACGGCTTAGCTCATACAGCTTACTTAGATTCCGATTGGGCTAGCTGTCCTTTCACTCGTCGGTCCGTTACTGGATATTTTATACATCTAGGTGGCTCGCCTATTTCTTGGAGATCTAAAAAGCAAGACATTGTTTCACGTTCATTTGCTGAGACAGAATATCGAGCTATGGCGAGTGCTTGTACAGAAATTCATTGGCTTCGCGGGCTTCTTGCTGCATTACAGGTTCCTTGTGTTGCTACTCCGAGATTATATTTGACTTCAAAGTCAAAATCAACTTGTGGGGTGCAATTGAAGGGGGTGGGGGATGTGTTCGGATCGGGGCAGGGTGAGGGGGGTTTACCCGGGGGTTAGGGGGGTTGGAACGGTCAATTTTACAAACGGAGCACCGGAGCGCCCTCGGGTCATCCCATGACATTGGTTCCCAATGTCATGAGAACCAAGGGGTTTTATATGATGTGTAATTTGTAACATTAAAAGTATTATTATGTAATATGCAGATAGAATGTGATATTTTTGTAGAATAACATCCATATTTTTTAATATCTGGGGTAGTAATACTCTCTTTTCACTATATAAATAAAAATTGGTTATTTTGTTTTCATAAAGATTTAAGAAGTAGTGATATTGAAAAGATGTTTAATATTTTTTAAAAATGTTTAAATATATCAATGTTTAGCTATTATCAACAATTTTCTTATTTTAAATTTTTTATGTATATATGAACTGTAATAATGTAAAACTATTAAATTCTTGTAAGAACTTTAAGTTTAATTTAAATCAAATTTAAATTCATTTACACCAGATCTGATCAGATAAAACAGGTCCAATCAGATCCGATCAGATAAGATTCATTCAGATTAGATCCAATCAAATTAAAACTTTTAAAATTCAGATTATATTTAATGAGTTCAGACATACAAAACAGAGCCAAAGCTAAACTGCTTTATGATTCTAATATTGCTTGCAATATAAACAATCACTATGGTGAGAACTTTTTATAGAAATCACCATAAATAAGACTAAATTTTAGAGAAAAGTGTCAAAAATAGAACTTTCATTCTTTTATTTAAGAATATAGGACTTTGTAATGTAGCAAAAAGTAATGTTGCACTGTATTTGTGCACATTACTATATTTTTTGGTAATGTACATGACCAATTTTGGTAATGTAAATGCATTTTAACTCCTATTTCAAGAATGAAAACATGAAAGTCATATTTTGGTATATTTTCAAAGTTTTACTCCTACTTTTTTCTTTTTCCCCAACTTTTTAAGGTAAAACTTTTATGAAACTATGACATTTACTCCATCTGTCCTAAAACTTTCTTCCCGTTGCGCAAAACGAAAAAAAATCCCAAGTTTTTTCAATATATTTTATTTAAATATTGGTATAGAAATAAAAAATAAAACATGCATATTTAAAAACTACATCAAAAGTTCAACAAAACAAGTGGTGACAAGAATATTTTATTTTATCATATAGGCCATGAAAAAACACAAATAAATATAAATTCCCGTGAAGTTGGAATAGTGCTCTAGGAAGAATGTAGAGCGTCTGGTGTCTGGACAGCCGGCCCAATCCGCATCAGAGTAGGCCTGTAAAATGTCCGTGCGAGAGGGCCACGGAGATAACGAAGAACCCGCTTCATAGCTATCATGTGTGCCTCACGTGGAGCATGCAGATGGAGGCACAGCTGCTGAACTGCATATGTGATATCTGGCCGAGTAAATGTAACATACTGTAAGGCACCAACGATGGAGCGGTAGAGAGAGGGATTGGATGACGCTGGCCCAGCAGTAGTGGAGAGTTTTGACTTAGTATCAACAGGGGTGGAGATGGGCCGGCAAGTGACCATCCCGGCGCGCTCAAGAGTGTCGTGAATGAACTGTGTCTGATGAAGAAAGAGCCCACGGGAAGTGCGATGTACATTGATGCCCAAGAAAAAATGTAGATCGCCCATATCAGTCATGGCGAACTCTCCCTTGAGACGCTGTGTGAGATGCTGAAGGAGATGATCAGAGGGTGCTGTGAGAACAATGTCATCTACATAGAGAAGTAGATATACTGTATTCGCCCCACGAGTGAACACAAAGAGAGACGTGTCCGTTTTGCAGCTACGAAACCCAATAGACTGAATGAACCCTGCGAAGCGATGGTACCACGATCTGGGGCCTGTTTGAGACCATATAAAGCCTTCTTGAGTTTGCAAACATAGTGAGGCTTGTCCGGATCCTGAAAGTCAGAGGGTTGAGTGGCATAGACAGTCTCCTGTAGGTACCCATGAAGAAAAGCATTCTTGACGTCTAGCTGATGAATAGGCCACCCCTGAGAAAGAGCTATACTCAACACAATACGTACCGTGGCCGGTTTGATTACCGGACTGAAGGTCTCATCATAATCCACGCCAAATCTCTGGTTGAAACCGCGAACAACCCATCGAGCTTTGTACCTGGATAACTCACTTGTAGGGCCAAGTTTATGTCGAAAAAGACATTTACCGGTTATAATGTTTTGGTGGGGGGAGGGGGGGTACTAGTTTCCATGTATCATTCTTGATCAAAGCATTAAATTCATCAATCATAGCAGCATGTCAATTTGGATCTTTTAGAGCACTACGGTAGGTGGGGGGTAGAGGGGAAATAGGGATAGTGGTGTTGAGGTTAAGAATTT